GAGCAGAGTGATGGCAAGTGTGATTTTTTTTTTTTTTTTAACATTTTCGATGTTATTGGCATCATCTCCAGACATAAAACCAGCCTTCCCTCCCCGCCTTCCTAAGCAGCATTCTCTCGCGCAGGACTCTGCCAGATGTTTTTGATTTACTGAAACTGAAGGACCGCTCTGCTCTTCCTCCACGCGTATGCACCAGCACAAAGTGCTAAGCTCGCCTGGATTTGAACTCCAGTCCTCAAGAGTGACGGGAGGCGCAGGCTCGCCCGTGTCAGCTCAGCTGGGAGAAGTGTTTTTAGTCATACGTTGACATGCATTCACTGCTCAGCAGAGAACGGAGTGCAGCGCACACGCGTCTGGTGCTGCTGCCCCGGGTCACGTGGTCCTCTTTGTCTGGGAGAGCTTTTGATGTGTGTCCCAATATTGAGTTTCTCTGCTTTTAATAATCTTATATTCTTTCCTTAATATAAATATCACGAAAATGCTGAATGCTCATCTTCAAAGATCAAGCAGGGAGGGAGAGGTGGGCAGCAGTCCAGTGACTTGGATTCCTAAAATTTCTGCTTGAAAACCTCAATTTAAAAGCTTTATAAAAGCCTCTGCTCAAGAAGCTTGGCCCCTCTATTTAAAATGGAAATGGCCTGTTGCCGTTCCATTCAGAATACTGTTAATTATAGAATAATTAGGTCTCCGCCTGTAGGGACCTCAGACACAGGGCCACGGAGTCCGTGTTTCTGGCTCCATTTGCATCATGGGACACAGAGGTCCTGGAACTGACGGAGGTGGCTTTCACTGCCTGTCTCTGCTCCGGTTAGGCACTCTGCAGCCCGGCTGGGACCAGGACAAGGGACATTTCAGTGCTAAAACTGGCGCACCCCTAGCCAACTGGCCCCGTTTGTCACTCTCTCTTGGGCATCCCAGACCTTGGGGAGTTGAGCAAGAAGCAGTCAGCACGGTTTTCTTGCTCACAGGCGCCTGCCTTGTTGGGGCAGGCAGGTGCCTGGATTCTCACAGTCCAAGTATGGAAAGTGGTGCTCAGAACACTGGGGGCGGGGACCCCGGAGCGCCTGGGGTGGGGAATGCAGGCTGCCCGCCTGGGTCTTCCTGGGACTGAAATGTTCCAGGGGAGTCGGGTCCCCTCGTCTGTAGGTGAGCAAGCGTGCTCCTTCAGGGGTTGTACTGCGCCGGCTGAACACACCTGGCTGCTCAGTTACCCTGAGCTACTCCAGAAATGCCACCATGGAGAGGCTGCGGGGTGGTACCTGTCTTGCAGGGAGTGGGGCAGCTCCGGTTTAGGGCTGATTTAGGGGTGCGTTCCCAGCTGCTTCTACTTAGCACTTGGTCGGCACCGCCTCTCTCCTCCGCACCAGGACACCTGTTGCCCGTCAGGCATGGGCGTGAGTAGTTACACAGAATATCCTGTGCTCTACTTACTGCCTTAGAAGATAGTGCAGCTCTTTATAAAAACCGAGTAGCAACGTTGCCCATTTCTGAGCAGCCCCCTGTGCCAGATACCACAGGTATATTTATATATGCTCATTCAATGCTAGTGCCAATTCTGAAGGATTCCTACTGCTGAAAAACTGCAAGGATCACAGACGATGTGTTCTGAGAATTGGTGTTAGTGCATTTGTCCATTGGAATTGATTAGCTATTTAAATCTCATACCACTTATGAAAAAGGCACCTGCGAAAAACGTTTTTAAAGCCAGCCATGGTGGTGCATGCTTTTAATTTCAGTGTTTTGGGAGGCTGAGGCAGGAGGATCCTAAGTTCCAGCCTAGTTCTGGGCAATTTAGAGAGATCTTGTGTCAAAATAAAAATAAAAAGGGCTGGGGATGTAGGTCAGTGAGAATGTCCTGAGTTACTCAATCCCCAGGTAAAAAAAGAAGAAAAATGTTACTGTTTTCTGGGCAGGTGTCGGAGCTCACTGCTGGAGCAGTGTATTCCCACCCAAATCGCACTGAGGCCGAAACCAGCCTGCATCTGGGGGAGAAGGGAAGAGAATGCTGTGGGTCGGCACTCCAGGAGGCAGGGTGCCGGGCACACAGGGCTGTGTGGGAGGGTGGGGGCTGGAGGGTTTTTTTTTTTTTTTTTCATTTCACTGTAGTGGGTAAAAGAGAGCACCCAGGGCACGCGAGCAGCAGAGAGCACAGGCGGGAAGTCAGACGCCGCCTGCAAACCGAATATCCCTGGGGCCGCTTCAGCTCTCAGGAGGTTCTGCCTCGCCCAGCTCACCGGAAGCCAACTGAGAACCAGCTCCTGCCAGGCTGGTCCTCACCTTGAGGTGGAGCCCCTGTGGGACAGGGAGGCGCCGCCCAGTCACCCCAGCCGCACGGCTGCCCAGGATCACCCTGACCTCGGCCCACGGCGCCTTCCCTGGCTGACGTGTCCAGGGCTGACGTGTCCAGGGCTCCTGGGCCTCCGTGGTACCCACCTCAGGTGCAGTCTTACCTTAGCCGCAACATTACCCACCTGTCCCGTGTGCTGCATGGCTCCTCGGCTTCTCCAGCCTCACACTTCCTTCTCTCCGTGAGCTGCTGGCTGAAAACAAGGGCTACGTGAAGATGAGGCGCTCCCGCGGGCCCCACTGCCTGCCCTGCCTGCCTCCAGGCCTGCGGAGGAGCGCAAGCCGCTCGCGACTGAGCGCTGCAGCTGCCGGGACAGCCGCCCACGCCACAGGAGCCGGTGTCCCGGGCAGGGCGGGAGGGAGGCCCGCAGCCCTCTGCTCCAGCCTGCCCGGCCACGCTCCCAGGAGTGACCTGGAAAGGGACGCAGAGGGAGCCTCTCTGCTTTGCTCGTTGGCAGTCCAGAAGGGACACGAGGGAAGCCGCGCTGATTGTGGCGCTCACCACTGTAACCCCAGGCCTGGGAAGCTGAGGCAGGAGGACCTGACCTCAAGGCCAGCCTGGACGACACAGTGAGACCCTGTCTCAGCAGACAGACAAGCTAGCACAGCTGCCTCGAGCTTGTTCTTGCAGAGGGCGGAGCTTCCTGCGATGCCCAAGAACGTGGGTCTAAGCAGCCGGCGTTGGGTCCTGCACCCCTGCCAGTGCTATGTGTTCTACCCAAGTGAACAGCTAAAGAAAAATATAACCAAAGTTGAACGTGATTGTTTTTTAGCGCCAATGTTTAACACTTGATCTTCTTTAGGGAGAATAAAGTAGCTAAAATATTAGTAGATGCCTCTGTATACACATGCACGTTGAGGACCCAGCGACCGCCCACCTCCGCCCTATGCCTTTAAGTCAGGTTCTTAGTCTTTTTCCTGTTGTGGGGACAAAATACCTGGCACCTGCAACTTAAAGGGGAGGCCTACTTGGCCCGAAGTCTCAGAAGGTGCAGTCCATGGTCTGGGGCTGCGAGGCAGAATGGTCACTAGAGGTAGAGGACCTCTGCTCCCCGGGCAGCCAGAAGCAGGGAGGAAGAGGCAGCAGGAGAGCCATCGCAAGGCACCCACTTAGGGATCCACAGCCTCTCCCCTGGCCCCGCCTTTTCATAGCAGATTTGGCTAACCTTCCTAGAACTCCACCTCTGAGCACCAGACCCTGGGGCACGTCTTGGGCGTCAGTCCCAACAGGCGGGTTCTGTGCTCCCTGAGCTTCCGAGTGTGAGTGCGGCAGAATCGTTTGCTAGGCTGCCAGAACAGCTCTCCGGGCCTCACCCTTGGAGTTGCCGCTCCGAGGCAGAGCTGGATTGTTGGGGTTTCTGACTAGCTCCTGGGCTGCTGCTGAAGTCCTCTTGGAGAAGTCTCAAGGCAGGGCTCATCTTTGAGGGTGAACAGGTAACAGACCTCTTTATTTAGTACCTATAGTGGGATGGTGGCCAGAGCACAGAGATGTGGGTGATTTAGGAGAGAGAGAAGGTGATGGAGGATGGGAGATGGCTGAGGGCCAGGAGTGCAACAAGAGGGCGTGTCGGGTGGTTCAGGGGAGAGGACAACCCCAGCCCCATGTGTTTGGTCCTCATGCAAGTGATTAGAATTTTCCAAGGTGGATGATAGGCACTGAACCCGAAACAGAGGGACAGGCCCCGGGGCCTTCTCATGCTCCCTTCTGTGTGGACCACCAGAAGCGGCGCGTTCTTGGGACTTTCCTGATGATGCTCATTTCCCCGACAGTGCCTTAGTTGCCAGCTGGAAAGCTTTTCCTCTGGGTAAGGAGGGCCACAAAGGGGAGTCGTGGCGATGGAGTGGCCTTCTTTTATCAGTACGGGTGGGATCCAAGTCGGGCAGGCCTTTCTTCTTTGGAGTTTTGAAGCACGAGTTCACCTGCAAATATCAGGGCAGGAAGGAGGCAACTCTTCTCCTTTCCAGTTTCTTCCACCCCGTTGGCTGCAATCACTCAATATGATATTGATTTTAACATTTCCAAGCATGCCATATAGAGGCAGGTAGTCTTGGGTTATGAAGTCATCAGGGTGCTTCCTTCTCTATGTGGTCACTAGCAAAAGAATGCTGTTTTATTTTCTAAGCACTGGGGATCAACCCAGGCCCTCTTCCATGCTAACAAGCACTCTACCATGGGCTGCACCCTTAGCCTCCCAAGTATGTTTTTAAAATGTACTTATAAAAAAAATCATTTCAATGAAGACAGAATGGAAACTGCAATTATTCCTTCTATAGCATATTAGTCATTAGGAGAAATAGTATTCAAATTCCCAAATACCTGTTTGAGAGCAATATTCAGGAAATGATATTTTTATAGTAAACATGTTTAATAAACAGCAGCATAAAATAATCAGTGTTTAAATCGTCTCTGGTGTGTGAAATACAAAACGCACATGGCCTCAGTAGAAAGTAGCCTCTTCATCTTTACAGTTCCAAGCTTGCCTACTCGAAATGCCCACAATAACAAACCAAACTTAAGGACTAGAGTAATTATGTGCATGCAGTGAAAACAAACGAGAGAAATGGCAAGGGAAGGTAGCTAGTTACCGCCATGATACACTTGAAGAAAATGTATATTGAATTAAAAACAAAGAAACAGACCAGGTATAAAAATGCAGAGATATATTTTCACTTCTGTGATACAAACCATAAACATAGTTTTGTGCAAAGAGAAAAAAATCTGAAAAATAAAGTCATCTTACAAAACATTGTCAACAAAGCAAAAGATATTTTTTCAGTCTGTGAAAAAAATATTATTTAGTACAAAGGGGACCGTGTCCTGCAGTGTCACAGTGCTGGCAGGAAATACGTTACTCCGAGTGGTTCCGAAATTTAGCTTGCTCACCTTAATGACCTCAGTTATTCCATACTGTTTAAAAAATAAATGCTATAATTCTTTATAAAAAACTAACTTGAATTTAATTTTTAACCATGAGAATGTTTTTCCAGAGAAGTATTTTACTGGCTCACGGAATGCTAATTTCCCTTTAAGGGACTCCTAAGAAAAACTCAGATTCACTGAAGATGTGTTTACTTAAAATAATAAATATTCTTGGAAAACAATTGATTGTCATATGATAAAATTGTGGTTTGAAGCTTCATCATTAAGCAGTTGCATAGCAACGACAGGATTCAAATATTCTCCTTTACCTAAAGTTAAGAAATACAACGCCTGAGCCTGAATCAGCTTATTTATGCCACAAAAACACGTCTGCGTTTGACTCCCAGGAAAGCCGAATGCAGCCGACCCTCCCGAGTCCGCAGCACGTGTGACTTCACGTTTGCTGGCTGCACTCAGGCTTGGGAAAGCTGTGCCAGATTTTGGTAAACAGACTGCCTACTCTTCTGGTGTCAATGGTATTTTTAAAAAATGGGAACATGAAGGTGTTTCCAGTTCTCTTGCACCATGCTCACGAGACATATCCAGGAAGTACTTTTCACTGTCTCTTTACGTCTCTTACAGCTTTAAAATAAAAAGGAGACCAGGAGACATTGTTCTTACAATAAAGGAGTTTTTTTTTTTTTTAACAAGAGAGATATCAAATATAAAATTCCTTTCTATATAGAACTTGAAACCCATAAGGGTTCTAAATTTGGCCAAGGATGGTAGATGCCAGGAGAGGCACATTCGAGGCCTCCCTCTCGGAAGGTGAAAAGTGTCATGTTGCTTGTTTACTGGCTCTAAGAATTCAAGAATTCAGTTCTTGATAGCCTTTAAGAACACAGGTGTTGCTCAGTAGAAATACTGTAATGTTCTGCAAACTAGGGTACACTGTCTTTGGATTCCAACTATGAGTAAATTGTGAGGATTCTTGGGGCTGGAATAAAATCTGTGAACATTTCTAGCACAGAATTTAAAAAAGCAGGAGACTGTTGCTGGTTACTGGTGCCCTAGCTGGGCTCCTGCTGTCTGGGATGGGGACAGCACCACTTGACACCCCTACACTGGTCACTGCCGCTGCACACCCCACCTACCACCGCACTGCCATCTATCAGTATCATTGCTGGGGGAAGCGCCGTGGAGCTGCCTCCATGTGGTCCCTAGTTCCTGTCTTGGGATGCCCCTTTAGGCTGAGGGACCGTTTTCCTGACTGCTCCTTTGTCGCCTCAAGAGCAGCTCATCGATGTGAACAGTCAGTCAGCAGTCACTTCCGGCACCTCCTCCAGCTGTGTTTGCTTGTGTTCTAGGCCCTTGCCTTTCAAGGGCTTTTGTAAGCGCACAGAGACAAGGGGCAGTGTGGGAAAGCCTTCACCATGGGAAGGGGCGTTCCGGAAGAGGCCCCCCGCCAGCCAGCCGGAGGAGGAGGCTCTGGCAGGACTGGCACCAGGCTCATTTCCATCCCCGATTTCACACTTGGCTTACTGTTTCCTCACTGCTCCTGAACTTGGCTTCTGTCTGACAGAGTCTACGCCGATCCGTGTCACTTGTGAACATTTGTCCTGAAGAAGGGACAGCAGGAAGACGGTGCCACGGGCTGTGCGCTTCACGGAGAGGGCGGGCACGGCAAGGCACCGAGATGCAGCACCGCTGACCTTCCTGTTTGGTGTCATGCTTGATCTCGAGTTTCCTTCCTCTTTGCGGGTGTGAGGTCTTCAGTACTTGAATCTGCACGTCCCAGCCCCCTGCCACGTTGCCCACCGAGGGACGCTGACCCCACGAGCTGTGTTCCTGGCTGGTCCATCCCGCTCCGTGAGACACAGCTAAGGCTTCACAGGAGATACTTGCTGCAGTGTCTGCTAAATGAGAACCTAAATAGAAACGTTTGAAAATAACTCTCTTCTACGGCTTCCTAGTCTGTTCCACACACACAGCTACAAGGGTCGTACCTTTACAGTTCTGCAGAAATCACTGACTCGCTGTGCCCATGAATGTTGGTGTCTCCTAGCAGAGACGGTTGCTTGGAGTCTATTTTGTAGGGTTTTTGAGATTTGTTGCTAAAAACCGTGATGCCCATCCCACCGGGATGGCTGGGGATAGACATGTGTGGCAGCAGGGGGATGTTGGCTTCCTGATTTGACCCCGAGGAGGGCAGGCTGGTCACGTGGCCAGTGCTGGTGGAGCCACTGGCACTGCTAGGGGACCGGCTCTTGGGAGGGGGGCAGTGCTGGATCACCCTGGGGGGACCTGTCGGCTGGTAGTGGGCAGCCGGGAAGGCCGCATAGCCAGGAGGTATCGGGTACCCGTTGATGGGGATGAAGTGCTGGTTCTGAGGTATTGGAGGGCCGAGGAAGCCCGCGATCTGGCCCTGGGGGATGCCCTGGCCGGGGAACACGTAATTGGGAAAGCGGGGATTGCTGAGACTGCTCACAGGGCTGGCGCTGAGGGAGGTTGTCTGCGTGGTGGCGTTTCCCCCTGAGGGCGTGGTGGAGCTCGTGTGGCTGGACAGCCCCTCCCAGGCCCGGAGGCGGACGTGGATGTCTTTGAATCTTGGTCTCCGGGAGGGGATCTCGTTCCAGCACTCGGTCATGAGGCTGTACATCCGGGGCGGGCAGTCCTCGGAGCACGGCAGGAGCTGCCCTTTGCGTACCATCTCGATCACTTCCTGGTTGCTGAACCCGTAGTAGGGCTGCAGGCCAAAGCTGAAGATCTCCCATAAGACAACCCCAAAGGACCAGATGTCGGAATCAGAGGAGAATTTGCCATACACGATGGCCTCGGGGGGCATCCAGCGAATGGGCAGTAGGGACTTGCTCTGCACCCGGTAGTAATCCGCGGAGTAGACCTCCCTGGAGAGCCCAAGGTCTGAGATTTTCACGTGCAGCTGCTCCCCGAGGAGGACGTTGCGAGCAGCCAGGTCCTTATGCACAAAGAAGCGGCTGGCCAGGTACTCCATGCCGGCGGCGATCTGGATGGCGATGTGCAGGAAATCCCCGTGGTCCAGGCTGGACCTCACTGTGCCGTCCTCGTCGCTGCTGCAGCCGACGTCCGAGTGCGGGGACCGCATGATGAGGAACTCGTGCAGGTCGCCCTGGTTCGTGTACTCGAAGAGCATGCACACGGGCTGCTCCTGCGTGACAGCGCCCAGCAGGCACACGATGTTCGGGTGGTGCAGCTCGGCCAGCAGCGAGGCCTCCTGCTGGAACTCCGTCCACTGCTGCGGGTTGTTACAGTCCTTCAGGGTCTTGATGGCCACCAGCTGGGCGTGGTCCATGCCGGGGAGGTACAGGTGGCCCTTGTAGATCTTCCCAAGGGCGCACTCACCCAGCTCCTCCATGAAACGCACGGCAGACAGCGGCAGCTCTTTCGCCTTGCTCTGGAGGAAAGGAAGGAAAATGCAGGTTATTACAGTCCTCAAGTCAAGATGTCGCCTCTGGAAGGAGGGGGAGCCCACCGGAAAAGGCTCCATAAATAGATCAAAAGCATGGGCTGAAGCTAATGGTGATGTGCTTCTTTAAGTTTTCAGCAAAGTAAATCTTACCGATCATTATAGTTTTGTTTGTAATAGCAAAAGATTAGAAATAACCCAAATGTGCCCCAGAGGAGGCTGATTAAATAAACTGTGGTGGAGCGAGGGATACCACACTGCGTACAGTCGTGAAAAAAGTGTGCTGCCACGTAAAGTTCTTCGATCCTGTTGCTCAGTTAAAAGCAAAGGAACAGTGATGCCGGGGCCGCCGTTCATACAAGATGAGCAATGAGCATCTTCACATTTCTTCGCGTGAAGAGCAAGCAGAGGGTGCGTAGGCGGAAGGAGGCAGTGGTTACGGAGTTTGGAATTTTTATTTCATGCTTTTTTTATACTTCAAAATTTATGAGGGCCAGCCAGATACTCAGCAGACTACAGCGCCTGCTTAGGCAGAGCGCAGGGACCAGGTTAGACCCCGGGGTGCACCGAGATGGTGACTGACACTGGGCGTGGTGGCGCGCGCCTGTAATCCCAGCGCTTGGGAGGCTGAAAACAGGAGGATCACTACCAGTCCAATCTACGTAGTGAGACCCTGTAGACCCTGTACTAAATCCAAAAAAACTCCAGCCAAATAAACAAACAAAAACCCCCCTAAAAACCAGGGGAATGAGCAATCAATTTAAAAACCGGAATAATTAAATTTAAAAACATTGGGCCCATCTTCTCAGCTGGCTAATTAGAAATACTTTTCAGCAACTATAGGTGTATCTGCTAATTTTCCTTTGCTTACAGGGCCTGGGCTTGCTTTTCCCTTCTGGCCAAGGGAAAACCTGGGGTTTCCTGCATATGGAGGCAGTGCTCAGACACTGGGCTCTGCCCCCGGCCTAGGGTCTGCACAGGAAAGCAGGTGATGAGAAAGGTGGTCAACCACCACAGGCTTGTCCGGTTCTCTTGCAGCACTGATGGCTACTTCTGTGGCAAGGGTAACCCAGGGTGGCCTCCCATGAAGATGGGGACCGCTCTGTCAGATCCAGAGGTCGCCCCAAGCCATCGTGCACTAAGGTGGGACCTGTGCAGGGTGGTGGGCCTGGGGGCTGGCAGCTGCGGAGGTGGGGCCAGGTCGGAGGGGCAGGTTGCTGTGGGCGAGCCCCGGAAGGGCTCATCTCCTGCTCCTCCGCGCTCTCGCTGCTTCCTGGCCACCACCACTGGTGGAGCCCTCTCCCCACCAGGCCCCTCTGCCCTGCCATGGCGGACTGAAACGGGATACATAATAAACCTCTCCTCTTTTAAGTTTTTGTGTCAGGTATGTTGTTCCAGCAGCCATGAAGTGAGTAGAATGAGGGATTTCAGTGATAATGTTTGCTAATGGCGCCAGTGAGTCCGACTGATGTGACACTTATTGGAATAGGATGGTAGGTATTCCTTTCTGACCTAAATGTGATTCCTAGGCCTTTGATAACAGAGAGGATAGGAGACTGGCACCAAAATTTCTTTGGGGAAAACGAGAATTGGGAAATAAGCTCATATACTGCTAGACTGATTTTCTGAGGAGCTAGAAGCAGTACCCTCCACTTCCTACTCCTCTCACCCATGGACAGTAAGTGTGACTCAAACCAAGGGGGCTTCAAGCCCACACAAGTCTGGGTTTGCATTCTGGACTGCTGTTTCCTATTAGTCATAGTTCGTAGCCCGCAGCACCCTGTGCCAGGCACTTGGCAATGCCCACTCATAACCACCCTTTGCGGCGGATCCTGGTCAGCAGTGGCCGACCGTGGGTGACTTTCTCTGCCTGTGTCCACAGCTACGCAGTCCCATAACTGCCGCACACGGTTGCAGCAGGGAATAAATGCAACTCTGCAGAGAAGTAGCATCCGCCCACCCAGAGCTCTGTAAATCGCTTTTCTTATCCTTGTGAGGGAAGTAGTCAAGAAAGCGGAGTAAGGGCAAAAGATTTACGTTTTCAGCCCTCAGTAGCTCTAGCGTCTCAGATAATTCCCTATCTGCTTTTAAAGATTGTGTTTAAGTGTCTTCCCATTAGCCTGTCTGTCCTATAGTTCTCAGTTGCTGTTATTTCTTAAAACCTTACAAAGTAAAAGAGGATTAGTGTGGAGCCCGTGGAGTTCGAGTGGCTGGGCGGCTGCGGCTGCTGCTCCTCTGAGGCTGCAGGCGAGCAGACGCAGAAGAGTGGGTCGCAGCAGCAGGCCCAGCGGCGGGGCAGGGGAGGAAGGGCTGCAAGAGATGTGGCCCCGGGTCCCTGAGCTGGCCGCATTCCCCGCCACCAAGGGAAGCAGGCTGGTTCTTTCAGGTTCATTTCTGGAAGAAAAACTTTTACTTTTGCCATCTTACAGATGGAGGAAGAGGCTAACTGGAAGGGTGGAGAGTTTTCCAGGTGCTAAGAAGCTGCCGTGGCGTCTGCATGGCATCTGTCTCGGCCACGCTGCTCTGGCGGAGCCCAGTGTGGCACGCTGGCTAGCACGCTGGCTGGACATACACGCAGCGTCCACGCTCTGCCTGGGCCACACCACAGAGGGCCACAAAGCTTGCCAGATGCAGTGCCTGGTACGACCGTGACCTCGTGACACGGAGGGGCGCTCTGCCCCCAGAGTGCCTGGTGCTTCAGCACCCACGGGCCACAGAGGGCCGCAGCTCGCCAACAGTCTGGACAGAAGAGAGGACTGGTTTTCTAGGGCTACGCAGAACCACCTTCCCCCCTAGAGCTCCTCAAACCCAAATTTGGGGGTCTGCTTTGGAAGGAAGGAGAGAAGGTCCTGAGGTGGCAGATGACGCAGAAGCCTCTCCCCCGAACACCTGTGTGACAGCCAGCAGGGGCGTGCCCAGGAAAAGCCAGTGCGGCTGGGTTTCAGGGGGAACCATTTACATGGTGATTTTCATTTCTTAAATGCTCAGGTTACTTGGCACAAATGAGTCTTAACTATAGGGCCATTTTCAAATTTTACATAAATCCTGAACTAGTTAAAAAATAATAAAGACCCTTAAAGAAGCAGTCGGTAGACGGCGAGGTGACGGCAGGAAACTAGCTGTATTGTTAGGGAACAGATGGTTTACATTACGCAAACCCTTTAGGCCAAGCTTGTTTAGGTCTGGCATATTGTAAATTATATTTCAGTAATGAAAGTGAAATGACCTCCGCTTGACCCCAAGCGGGCTCTGTCGGTTTGAGCCAGGGAGTGGGGAACCATGAAAGAAAGTGAAGCCATAAGCCTTGGCAGTTGGCGTTGGGCTCATTTCAAGTGAAGGGGTTATAAATCTGTTTAGTTTTCGTTTGACAAGTATTTGTCATACAGGGTTGTACAAAATGTAAAGAAGTGTAAAATACACAGGAGGCCCAGGGCCAAAATAAACGGAGTACAAAGCGGTGGAGGAATGGGCGGCCGGGCTCCCCTCTCTCTGTCACCCCTTCCATTAGCCGGATGACAGGACGGGCCGGCTGAGCGGGGCTAGAAGGCAATTAAGCGCCTTAAAGCTGAACCAGCCTTCGGGTGAAATGTGAACATCTTTACTCCTCAGAGTAAACGCACATCTGCCTGAGCGTGGCCTCAGAAATTATATAATTTTTGCCAGAGGGGGAGGAGTAGGAGGAGGTGGGGTAGAAGGGGGGACAGATAAAAGCTGATGCAGAAGCTGATACGCTGGGTGAAGGCCCGATGCAGCACCTCCTTGGGAAATCTCTGGGTAACCAACCGTGTTAGGGTCAGAATCAGCCCAGTGGAGTGGGCACCGGCTGGCAGTGGGAGAGTGCTCCTCCTCAGGCAAGCAGGGAGCCCTGGTCCAACTTTCAATATGGCAGTGCATGCAGATGGACAGAAAACTTCCATTTCCCTTCTGGGCTTCTTCCCGAAGGGGCCGAAGGCGGCGTCCTCGGGGTGATCCGCACATGCGTGCACAGGGCCTCCTCTCAGAAGCAGCCTTTATGTCCATCTGCGCGTGAGCAGAAAAAGAAAACGTGGCACTGCACGCCGCAGCGCGCTGCCCTGCCGTGAAGGATAAACCAGAGTCACCTGTGGGAAACTCTGCACCTCGAGACCACGGGGCTAGGTGAGAGCACTCGGGCATGGCCACTGCGTGGCTCCTAACACAGGAGGCCCACCGCACAAACACACGGAAGAGCAAATGGAAGCCAGACAGAAAATGGGGAGGGAGAGTTGCTGCAAAATGAGGGCACCGGGAGGCGGAGGCACGGAGGGCACGGAATCCTGTGGCGACGTGCCAGGTGCACACCAGCTCCACGTGGGAATGCGATGGTTGCGTGCCACAAATGTGCACTAAGAAAAATGAAAACTTGGGCCAGTCAGATAGCTCAGTGGACTAAAATGCCTGCTTAGGCTGAGTGCAGCAGCTTGGGTTCCATCCCCAGCATGCTGTGCTGGCCCTGGTGGCCTGGGCGTGGTGGCACGCACCTGTGGTCCCAGTGCTTGGGAGGCAGAAAACAGGAGGATCACTGCTAGTCTGACCAGTGTAGTGATACCCTGTAGACCTTGTACTAAAAAAAAAAAAGTGTGCGGACAGTGACCTTGTCTTTGAGCCTGCTATGGCAGTCACCCTTGGGTGACAGGAATTGGAAGGGACCTTCCTGGAGGGGAAGCTTGCCACCCTGCTGCAATTTCCTGCTCGCTGGGTGAAGGGGATGATTGGGGATTGCCTGGTGGCCATCAACAGCTGTGTGCAGCATGAAGCCAGCTCTGTGACCTTCTCCTCCGTCCTGTTGGGAAGGACAGTTCTACCCCAAGTCCAGCTGGCTGCAGCCTTGAGGACAAGAAGCAGAGCCGCAGGCTGGTGCAGCGCAAGCCTGGATGGTGGGCACCAGGAAGGCCCAGAAGCCCATGGCCAGCTGCAGCCGAGGGTGTCAGCTGCGCCAGGCTGGGTCGGTCTTGGCTTCTTGAGGACCA